GTTGCTCACGGATATATGTATGTTTTGGAATTAAAACAAACTCTTCTGCTGCCATGTTTTATGCTGATGGTAAGTATCTGTTGCAGAAGTAAAGTATCAGTCTGATCAAGTTGAAACCTTGTTTCGTTAGAATAATTGCTCGTTTTCGTTCAAGTTTTGTTTTTCGGCTGATTAAAAGTTTGTATGCCTTTTCGAAATTTTCAATGTTTGGAATATTAACAGATACATTGCCATTGACTACATTGAGCAAACATTCACATATAACTGAAATAACTTGAGGATTTGTTGTTTTTCTAATGAAGCTTCGGAGCTGGCTGGGATTCAATTGTACCATGTGCTGCAGAATAGATAATTTTTTCGCGTTCATTTGTGAGAGGTGTAACCTCTGCCTGATTTATTGGTAAGTAAAAAATTGAGGGACCAGGTGGTGTAATGTTTGAACAATATCTCAAACAATCGGATGTACGCGGATCCAAGTCGATTAAAAGATGACCGTATGTGTCTTTTGTAGCGAGCTGATAACAGTGTCTCAAAAATTTAGTGTTGTTCAATTGTCTTCCAAGATGATCAAGTTGCTGAATATCACGAGGTGATTTGAACAGAATGATGTGTGATGTGTTTAAATCAATTGTTCGAGACCATCTGCTTTGTTGGAACAAATTATGTTTAACATATATTACATCTAGTCCTCGGTGTCTTCCTGCTGTTGCAAGTTTGACAAAGTCTTTATCGTTATAGATTTCTTCGCATGAATCATCAAAAACTAGAAGAACGTTTTCAAGGTTTCGCAAACTGTCAAAGCCATTGAATTTTATGAAAGTTAGATCAATGCTGTGGGTATTGGATTTTTCACTATAAAGAGGATGAATCTCTTTGTAAAAGTATAAGGCTCTTTGAAATTTGGGATAAAATGTTTTTCCTTTCAACAATTTGAATATCAGCTCTGTTTTTCCAGAACCCGAGGGGCCCACGATGGCTAAAAAAAGTCTCGTAGATGTATCAATAACTTTATTCATATTCTTGGATTTGGTAATACATAACCAACTAAACCCGATAAAATTGAAAACCAAACTGAGGTTTCTTCACAAGTTAACTGCGTTAATGAAAGTTTAAAAATACAAAAAGCCAATAAAATCAGAATTAACACCATTTGTGACATGAAAACTACTTCAGACCGTGGTACATTCACGTTATTGCAAAATTTCCATGATTTTTTCTCCATATGATTTTCGTCATACACAAAATCGGTAACTATAGTTCCATCAGTCTCGTCAACTACTGTGTCATTCATTTCAATTTCCCTACCGCTTTCCCTCACTCTCGAACTTGCAGAATGAAAAATATATATCATATTTAAAAAAAATTAATTAAGCATCTGAACAGTAATAAATTTCATATCGTGTATAACCTGTATAGACACTCGGTTTATTATCATCATCAAAATCATAGTGCATTTCCAAAACATAATTGGCTGGGACATGATCAGTTTTGGCATGATACACAATTTTCTTCACAAATCTTCTCTTATTATTTTTTGAATCTCATTGGGTAGTTCACTGCTGGTTAGATCCATTTGAACTCCTGGTTGACGTTTGGGCACTAAGACTAGCTTGGGAAGACAAAGACCGCGCTTGCTGGGTAACATTACTGATGTATTTGAATCGTTGAAAGTAGATGAATTGGTCAATCACGGGGAAGAACCTCCTCAAAGTGCACAACTCTTCTTCAGAAAGTGTAACTTGTTCTTTTCGTTGAACTACTTGGCCTCTACAATCAATGCGTTCAATCCTGGTCAATGAAATCTTTATGTTACTTTCTGGTGTCATCCAAGCACAAAGAACTGAATTTGGAGATATGTATGTCTCCACTTTCCCCTGACGCTCGTTGTTGACACTCATTTTTCAACCAATCAAAGAACGCTTTCGACTTTTTTAATGCACAATGATTTTTAGAGTTATGGTGCGGTAGGTGTTTGTTACAATTCACAAAATTCTTGAAATATAATTGTTCGACTCGTGGACAGCCCAAATCGTCAAGATTCACAACTTTACGGTCTAAGTATTTGGATAAAAAATCAGCTTTTTCTTTTCCTTTGGCGTAGAATACAGCATTGGGGTTTCTTAAGACAAAACTTTGAATGATTTGGTTCAAATTCAGGTATAAATAATCACCGCTATCCCAATGAAGTCCGTGCAAATAATTTGTCAGCCAGTTGTAGGCTTTTTGTTCAGATTTTGGAAGGGAATTGAAATTAACTGGAGGTAGAAAAACTAGGGAATCACTGTAGTCGGAAGTTGTTATAGCTAATTCTTTTACTATAAATGTGTTTTTCTGGTGTCGAAATCCCTCAAAATCCACCACAACTGATTTTTCCTTCAGCATTCTAATAAATGGTAGAGTTTCGGTTTTTTCAGTTTGATATACAAACAAAACGTAATTCCACTCAAGTGACCAATCAAACTACTGTTGCATTTCCATGGTAAAACATAGCAGTATGTGGGACCAGTGTTATAAACTTCGCGGACAAAACCGGCGGCATCGTGTAAAATAGCATGCATTCGTAAAATTTTCGAATCATTTAAATATTTATCCAAAGAAGAATTGTCTATACCGATCAGACCCCCATAGGGTCTCAACTTGATAGCAACATCGTAATTTATATCATTAGTAGTTGAGAAGAAGAACAGTGAACATGCAGCTAGGAAATAATTTCGACGGTTGGTGTTTTCCGGATAGGTTTTTTTCAAAGTAATAAAAATTTCATGAATAATTTCCAAGTCTTTTGAAGTAACTCTACGTTTTTCCAATTTCATTTTTTTAAAATTTTTCCAGCACTTCTCCGACATGCTGAATTTCAAGCCAGTGGAAATGAAAGTAACCTTCTAGATACCACTTACTCACTCCTATTTCTAACTAATGATTTCAACCTATTTTCATGTGTTTAGATGGATATTCCCCTTGGTGGTCTCCACGAGTCACCCATTGATTTGCCTTATGTGGGACCTGGAACTCACGAAGGCAAAAATATCTTTGGTGTGACCGTAGAGTTTACCCCGGCCACCACTGCAGCGAATTTTAAGCTGCATTACATTGAGGTTGCATTTGAGAAAAAGGAGGGCATATTTGAATATGTGTGTGTTGATGTGGGGAGCATGGAAAATTTCTGGCTGTGCGAGTCTCTGGGTGCGGGATTCGAGAGTACTGAGTGGCGCTTCAAATTTCAAATGGAGCGTCTAGTCAGTATTCTTCATGTCCCTTGGTCGGATCCCGAAGACGACATGCGGATGTGGCCGTAAACCCTTCCTCTGCTCTCCTATCCGTACTCTTGTTAACATTCCGTTTTTATTTTATTTTTTCTTTTTTTTTATATGTTACTTTATCTATTATTTATCAAGTCCTCTTTACCTTCTTACCCTCTTATTATTTGTCACGTCCTTCCTCCTTCTCAAGCAGGTCAGTTTTTTAATGGGGTCTCAAACTTATTTAGTTGAACAGTGGGAAAGTTTGGAAGGGATTAAATTTAACCACCGCGCGAAAATAAATACCAAAGTATTTTGTCTGTCGGGTGTCCTTAGAGAGGGGTCTTTTTATTTCGGGCAGGGTACTTTGGGGTCTTTAAAAAAGATGGGTCCTTTTGGACCCTACTTTTGGTAGGACCCCAAAGACCCCTACCGTCGAAAAGACCCCCCCCCCCCCTAAGGACACACGGCGGATTACAATACTACTTAACTTTTCGACTAAAACCGCTGGCCGATTTGTTTTTTTTTACTTAGACTGTCGAATATGCCTTAATTCTAATTTTTTTCAGATCCTTTTATCACATGATGCATAAAAACCAACGCTAAATTGAAAAAAAAAAATCATGAAAAAGTTTTAGGTATTTTCTATGAATACGGTCGGAACATTCTGTGCTACATGCACAGCAACCGGCTATACTTGTTGTAAGACACGATTCATATACAGACTTCACAATCTATAAACTTAGGAATATAGCCAACTGACAAAGTCTCAAGCTAACAAAACATAGATTTTTTTACCAGAATTTAACAACTTTCGAAAGAAAATACGATATTTTAAAGTTCTTTGAGTTCCATGATACTAAGATTGACAATATTGACAATATTGACCCAATTAGAGAAAACTAGATCAAAAGATAAATTTTCTTCGACGGTGAATTTTGAAAGCTTACCTTTGCAGCCCCATTTGCAATTTCGTTATTAGAGGACGTCATTTGCCTTCATTTTCAAACCGCGAAAAAAGCTAACTTAAACGTGAACAAGTTTTAAGACTTTTCAAGAAAAAAACACGACCTCTAACTCATAATTTACTACGTTTATTATCAGTTAATACACTGGTATCTGTTAGGTGGGAAAGAGGCAATGTAGCAACGGACAAAAAGCGAATCGACTTAAAACATACTACTTCAAATTAAAATGTGATCATCAGATGACGAGAAAACAATTAGTCACCTTTGGCAGAGGGTGAAAGCAAAATTGTTCCGATCAATAGATTTTGGTATTAAAACAATTTAATTGCAAATATTAATTTAGCTTAAATTGAGTTCTGGTCTCAAATAAGGTGATTTTCGCTGGTCGCAATTTTGTCACCTTGTTTTTTTGAAAGCACCTTTAGTGGACATAAAAATAAAACTCCATTTTTCACTGAATTCAACAAAAATATGAAATAAAATTGAATTTGACACAGGTGAAGCTGTACTTCGCAAACCAAGCAAAAAAAATTAAGAAGATCAAAAATTGAAATAAGAAAATAACAGACAAATCTTGAAAATGACAACTTTTACTATGTACCGGAAACAGACCACCGGCCTGAAGATTAAAGGTCTGAAACCCTCGCATCTGCACCATAGCTGCTCCAAACTATGCACACTAGACATTTAAAAAGCCGATAGAACATATGCTATTAAATTACCAATGGTAAACAGCAAAAGTGCCATCAAATGAGCATTTTCATTGCGATTTTTATTTGAAAAATTGGTTAATTTTATAGCAATCTGCTCTCTAGCTCGCTTTCATAAAAACTAAAACCTCGTCAAAATACAATTAAAGCTAAAATTGGATCCAAACTGAAATTCAAATATATTCTCCATTAACCAAAACTGAATTAATTAATCAATTGTCTGTTCAGACAGGGTGAGCACTCTTAAATTAAAGTGTTCTGAGATATCACAGAGCGGATCGGCTAAAAATGACATGCATTGGTATGCACCAGTATGGACTTCAGAGATGTTGTAGAATGTGAGGTTGTTTGACGCTTTTCTGAGTGCCGTATACTGCATGTAAACTTCGTCATCCTTGAACCACTGCCAATATGCAGGTGCATTGGCTCTGCAGGTGAAGGTCAGATTTGATCCCTTGGCTATCGGAATTTCTGAATAACAAAAATTAATTCAAATATTTTTCGCAATAGATTCCGAAAACTCAATAGGAAAACCCTACTCAAACAGGGCATGCGAAGCTTCGCCTTTTTTTCTATACAAAGATTAGATAATACAATGTAAATGCATTTGTAAAAACAGCTTTTGTAAACAATACATCCTTTTTGTTCACCTTGCCCTTACCCAATATACAACCAGAAATATCCTAGTGCTATGCTAGAGTAGATTCCAACCACGGTTTATTCGAAAAACTGATTTAAGAAAACTGTTAAGAGAGGAAAGACTCTTGAATACTTCGTCAAAAAGTGATCGTAACCATTTCCAATACAAAACAAAGCCGACAGACAGTTGGTAAGGTATCAAGGGAGATCGAAATGATTCAACTAACAATCGCCTTGGAGCTCTTTGAATTTCAAAATCTTTCATGATTGAAATTTTTTTGAAACGGATGCGAAGCGGAGCTTCGTGCCACTTGTGATGAAACAAATGAAGCTTCACAAGATAGCCGACAACACTAAAACGACAAATGCAGCCATTAAAAAGGACACTGAGTAAAAATTCGAAAATTTTACCGACATATAGGAGAGCGATAAGAAAACAGCTGATTATTTTTTTTGACAATTTCGAAGAAAAAATATCTCCCGAAACAACATAGCATAGTAGCTAGCTGAAAGAAACTAAGACAAAACTTAGGTAGACACTTGAGTAACTAAGCAAAAACACTTAGGTGGACTCCCATTTACCCGAGAAAAAAATGACCACAAAAAGATTTTTTGAATTTCCAAACGTATTTTCACTTTTCAAACGACTTAACATGAGACAACTAAACCAAGACGTTTACACCGAAAAAATTAATACAAAAAATTCTAAAAGTATACAAAACCTTGAAACTGAGTTACTAGAGCCATAACAAATGCTCGAAATTATCATCTAAAATAGTTCAAATAGTCCCAAAAACGATTTTTTGAAAGCAAATAATTTCTCGAGCAGAAAAAAATACACGCCTTACCTGGACTCGAAGATCAAGCTTTCAGTTTCCTAAGCATGGGCGTTACAAGTTAGGTTGAGCGGCAGAAAAAAATCATCAAAATTGAATTTAATATACTTACACAGAGGCGAAGCTGCGCTTCACAAACTCTTGCGAGAACACGACCAAAAAGCAGCTCCATCAAGTGATATAAGAGAAAGTAAAATTAAGCATCGAATTAGCAAAAACTCGGCTACATGTAGAATTCGAATCTGAGATCTACTGCAATCAAGAGATTTTGAGTCTCACGCACTATCCACTCAAGCTTAACAACCGACAAACACTAGTCATGAATAAAGCAGCTAAATATGCTAATAAAATGCCAAACCAATTCAGCAAAAGTGGCACCAAAAAAATTAGATTCAATTTTGCAAGTAATAATTTGGAAAATAACAAACCGAAGCCATCCACACTAACTTTGCATGTAACAAATCGCAAAGCACAAAACCACATTAAGTATGAATTATGCATTTCAAAAAAATGCGAGATATATTAAGTTAGGAAATTTCTGAAATCGAGTTTTCATTATTTTTATGTTAATGGAAACTAACTATTTTTTTTCGGTTCATTTGATTAACTAAAAATGCATCAACTGTCTTAATTTATTATTATTCGTATGACAAAGCACATGCTATGAAAAAGGTATAAAGGTGCCCCAAAAGTGGCACTAAAAATTGTATTCAAAATTTAGATTGAAAAAAAGATGGATCGTACTAATACACTGGCTTCGCAAGTGTAAATATAAACCAAGGTACCAATGTGGGATCGAAAAATTTCATCACATGGAAAAATAAAAAATTTCATAATTTTGTCTCGATTCATTTTCAATTTGCGGAAAACACGTCTGGTACTAATAGTTTAGGAGCGATTTTTTTTAAAATTCGTTTCGCATTTCTTCAAGCTTTTACATCGACAGTAGGTAAATGATCTCAGCTACCCTCTATGAAAGTATTCATATTCGGTTTCAAGAACTTCCAGTTTTATTACGGGCCTGAAAGTGCCAACTTTCGCCATCTGCGGCGGGTTGGCAATGGCGTGACATTGTAAGACCCTCGAGATTAAGACATTTGTCACACAAAACAATTCAATTTTCTTGTTGAAAAGGTTTCAAATCGCATAATCAATGCTATTTTGCTTTTTCGACAAAAAGTTCTTTCCCCAGTGAAGCCTTCAGCTAATGGCGGAAACAGGCAATTTCAGAACCGGTTTAAACTAACAAAATCTTAAAACCAAGTATTAAACTTTGATAGAGGAAAGCTGAGATCATTTTCCCAAGGTCGATGTGAAAATGTATTGAAAGTCCTTGAAAAAAAAGTCCTTGGAATTAGGCATTTCCAAGGGTAAAAAACAAATTTTGCATTTTTTGTCCAGTAGTGTATTTGAAATTGAGCTATGCTGTTATCACATCTTACGTTAAGAAAAACACCGAGTACAAAGTTACTCTCTAGTTCATGATCGATACAACAACCGAGCAGCCTTTCTAAATTGTTGAGCAAATTGCTTTGAATTGTCGTCACAAGGCTTAAGTTAAAATATCAAATCTGTCTTTCAAACCAATTTTTTCTTGATGCATCCTAGCCTACTCAAATAATTAAGATTGAAAAATTCGAGGAAAAAATGTTCTGCGGGTGTAATGTGAGCTGACCTTGTGGTGTTTGGATGATGCTAACTGGTCCAGCCGATATGTTGCGACACTCTCCCGGACCGAGGAAGGGCGTCTTGTAGAGGCTGTCCCCCACCTTGTAGTAATCGTACACCAAAATGATCACAGAAGGGGCCAGAAGGAGGATCACACAGCAACATGCAACTAGTTCGAAATCCAGACGTCTGTAGCACCCTCTTAGGGGAAGTCCAGAGTAGTGGGCATTAGCATTTCCGCCAGACAGAACGGCAGTCTGCATTGTTGAGTATCGATTCCAAGGGGAATCCGGTGAAAATCAAGTCCGGTAAAAAGTAAGTGATAATCCGGAAAAAGTGAAGATCAAAAAAGGCCAGACCAAAAAAAACAGTCTGAACCGGATGTGAAAAATAAGGCACTGATGTCAGTCTGATGCTTACATACAATGAAAGCTGAACAAAAAATTAAAATTTGAACAAAGAGAAGGCGAAAGGAAGCTAGAACTTCAATAATAGTTAAAACTGTATACTACAATCTACGTTCAGGATATCCATTTTTAATCTATCATTACTTTGCCACATCAAGCTATATTTTGATATTTATTGGATTTTTGCAGTGAAATTAGAAATATACCGTAACAAAGAACTTGTTTGTTTACGAGCAGACAGGTCATTTGATGATCAATCGGATTATTTGCAGCTTATCCAATGTATGGTGAATACCATACTGGGAGCAGTCGCCTCGTTATTAGTTTTTGATCCTGCGGAAAAGGAAGCGTCAAGAAAGGGAAACTCGGGGGCGAAGTAATAGTTGGTTATCTTTGTTTGGGTCCCCGGGTAGTTACAAATAACACTAATAAAATGGGGCCTCCCGGGGAAATGACATCAAAATCACCATTCATTCACGACCAGTGAAAGGAAAGTAAGTGTGTTAGAAGAATCAAATCAAATAACTTGGTTAAAATGGGAACCTGTCTTGCTGATTTATTAGACCGCTAAGTTAGTAAAAGCAAAGAGAGGGTAATAATAGGAGCGAGGTAATGATAAATAAATCGCATTCTTCACCTCAGCTTGCCTGATGCTAATAACTTATCAGCCCTGACGATGATGCTAACTTATAAGCCTCACTTTACTTTTGTGTATCTACATCTACCATCAGAGTTCATGTTTGATAAAAATAACGATAATCTACATCAAAATACGAAGTGAATGGCGTGGAAAAATAGCCCAAGTGATGAAAATTGATTGCTAATCACTAAAGGGAATAGACTTCTGGATCGAATAAAAGGTGGAACAGCACGGCTCACTTTTCACCTCATTTTCAGTTTCAATTCTATCGGGGAAAAGTCAAGTCAATTTCTACTAATCTAATTTGCTGATACGTCCAAGGGTAAATAATTCCACCCTTGAGCGAAAAAAATATGTTACACCACAATGCAAAGCCCAAAATTATGCCCACTTTTCGAGTTTTTTGAAGGACGGCCTCGAGCTTAAGGGTAAAAGGTGCAAAGTTTTGGCAGTTACTAGCGGCGGTCTTATTGTCACTCTACTATTTCCTAGAGATTTATGCTGGCTACAATTGTGCGACCTTGCGTTTAGTTGTTGATTACAAACAAATTTGAAGCTTTCAGTTCTTTGGTGGAAATAAACGTATCCCACGCATGCGTACCAACTTAATAATTCTCAAGTTTGATTACCTTATACTACTTCCGGGTTATTAAGTTTCATTCACGAGGTGACAGAATAATTTGAAATGCACACCTGAACAAATGAGAAGTGATATACGCAAAAACAACCCAATGTGCAACCGCTGTTTTCAAAGATTAACAACGGGATTTCTTTAAGACACTTCAACTGGAAACGGAAACAAAACCAATCAGTTATTTATTATCAATACTCAACACTTTCGCAGAATGAATGCGAGTTTTTTTCGACTATTTTTTTTCTTAACGGTATTGCCCCGTTTGAAATTAAAACAATTTAAGTGTCAAGGTACACACCAAAACTTTCTCCACTCGCATTTCCAACCACCAAAAAATGTGAATACACTCGCAAGTTTTGCTAATTTATTCCCGAATGAAAAAATACTCAAAAGGGTTGCTTTTGTTTACTATTACTTGGATGGGTAGGGAAATAGCTTATAATGTATATTAATATCGACCAGTAAGGTGATGATAAGAATACACATCACAAGTGTACAAAGGTGGAAGTATATGCTTCTTGGGTCAAAAAAGAACTGAGGGTAAATAATAAAAGAGATATTATTTGTAACGGTTTGCAGAACTTCTTTATTCTCCAGAGAGCAAAATGAATGCGTGAGTTGTTTATAACTTGCAATGCGATGTGGATAAGATGAAGTGTTTGTATTAAAGAACAATATTTTTATAGACGCCAAATTTGATCATTTTGCAACCGAATGAACTATCGTCTTCCTTCAGCCAAGCTAATCAATATTTAATTTTCAGTGGGTATAAACCTCGATTCGCCGCCGACGTCCAGCTCTTGAATCCAATACACAATTTCCTGATTTAGCTCGTTCAGCTTCAATTAAACTTTTTGTAAAGAGCATTTATCACCGTAATGTGAGCCATGTTAAAATAAAGCGAAGTTGTTTGATGAATGATATGTATGTTTGATTATGTACCATTTGTGGCCTGTGCATGTATTGCATTTAAAATTTCGGCTCTTTCACTATAAAAATAAAGTGAAAAGTATGTCTAATTGCAGCAGTCTCAGCCGGAGATAAAAATTTATGGAGCTTCTTAGGAGCTCATTCGGTTAATACAACAAATAAAATGTGCTGATATTGATGCCAGATGTCTGTTTTTAATTTTTATCCCTCTCCAGGCGAGCTATATAAACATGCCAGAACAACCAGAGCAAGACACAGTATTTCATTTCATAGGTATAATGAAAGTTTAAATCACACTTCCAGCGAACTAAGGTCGAATCTATGAAAGCTCGACGGTTTCGAATTTTTAAATTGTTATTTCTTTATTAAAACTGACTGTTATTTGCAACTTATGAAATTCGGACCACCGACGGTGGCGAGGATATTCGTCTTCGGTGGTCCGAATACCAAGGAATTTAAATATTGCAATTTTTTGAACTGGTTTTCTAAATTGCAAATTACAGTCAATTTCAATTAACAAACAAAAATTTTTAAATTCGAAACCGTCGAGCTTTGATATTAGAAGAATTAAAGCAGATTGGAAGAATTTTTGATCCGCTGATGAAGTTAAAAATTTTACGACCCTTTGGTTAAATGCTAACCTACATACTGTTGTAGGTTGCGAGTATGGTGTAAACATGGCATCTCAAAACTTTGTAGTTTTCGAGATATCGCAGTGTTTGGGATTTTTTTTTCTACTTTACTGGGAAAAAATAAGTCATTTTTTAAGCACCCTGTACCAAAATGAAGCCTATGTCTGGTTTAAAGCTGAGAGCCTGTCCTCAAGTCATGACCCTCAGTCAAGTATCTTAGTTTACCACAAGTCTTGAGAAAACTTTAAGAAAAAAATTTATCTTCTGTTATTATTTATTTGATTATTCGATATCAGTGAAGAAACATCCTAAGACACCAATAAACACTAAACAATTCCTATCATAAGATATACTGCAGTAACCATTTGAAAAAAAAAATGTTTCTAAACTAGTAATTTCTTATAGACTTCAAATGATTTTTCTTGTGAGGCGACAGTTTCTAACAGGCCTTCAATTTAAAACGGGTGACAATTTGTAACAAGCGACAAATTGTAACTGTAGACCAAGCTGGAAAAACTGATTCACGCGCAGTATTCCTCTGATACCCGATACAAGCGCAGCGGAGCAAGCGCATTCTACTTGCCAATGCCTTGTTACGAAACGTCGCTTGTTTCGAATTGTCGCCTGTAACGGAGTTTGGCCCTACCAATTTTTCTGACTCGAATAAATTGATAATCCTAACAAGACTGCTCGTATCAGGGTGAAGCCCGACTGCCTTTTAAGGTTTAAGGAGCAGTAATAACATGAAAAAATTCAATGAAATAAAACAATATGAAAAACTTTTTATTCTAAAATTTGAATTTTTTTAATGAAAATCATCCCCCACACGCCATATAAAGTACAAAAGGATAGATTTCGCTCCTTGTAACAATTATGGCAAATAAGCTTCTTTTAACCAATTTGGAACGATTTCTAAGACGGATCAACTCTCCGCTTACGCATTAATAGCGCGAAATATATCGCGCGTTAATTGTCCCAAATTGGCCAAAATAGCAATCTTTAAACCCCCGTAACTTTACGAAAAACGATCACAGATGAAATATCTTTTCAAACTTGAGCTCAGGACAACAATACCTTTGAACGATATAAAAACAATTCTGTCAAAATTGGCTAGTTAAAAAAGTCGACATTTGTCTGAAGAAAAAAAACCCACTCCGAGCACAAATATTCCGTTACTTTCGTATCGAAAGTCGGAACAATAACGTTCGACAATGAGTGAGCATATAGTATGTCCTTAGTCAATCCTCTCTACTTTATTCTCACTGAGAGATCTTTGGAGTTTTTATATATTAGCCATGTAACAACTAATTGTGTTAGCTTGTATTTATTAGAGAAATAGCTTTTCTTTCTTTAATACGTGCATTAGAGCCATATCAGTCATGTTTCGAGCTTCGATGACAAATTTTCAAAAAAGCAGTTTGAGACAAAGCATCCCGGTTGTCGCTGTTATGATTGTTTGGTGATTATCGATTCGGTGTTTACAAAACAAACCTGAAGCCTATGTAAAGCAAAAACACCTAAGGTTTATGAAAAGCACCGGTAGCTTATAGAAAGCAAAAAAAGAGACGAAAACTCGTATTTTAAGCATGAACAGGACCATCATAACAAAAGGAGCATTTCATTAGACCTTACTAGAAGTTTTAGGGATAATAGGACGCAAATTGGGAAAATATGCTGGCTGTTTGTTGATGTACAGGAGAGTCTGTGATAAGGTCGCTTCTGTTAATGTTAAAAATAAATAAATCTGACTTCTATGGACCTAATTTCTTTTTCGAATGTTTTTTTTATAATGCAAATCAGTGAAATAAACAATCCAATTCGAGCCGAATCACTAACTGAATGAATACAAATCACTTAGCTCCAGGGTGGGGGTTTAAAACATTTTTTATCCAATTATACAATAAAACATGTTTTAAACGTAAAAAACAAGTTTTTATTGAAAAATTTTTTATCCAATTATACAATAAAACATGTTTTAAACGTAAAAAACAAGTTTTTCTTTTAAAAATTCCTTTTTTTCTGCTACTGTCTTCAAATTTACTTAAAAGCAAAACATGAAATGAGTGATAGCGCTGTACAATCAATTCAACAAGTGAATTGTTTATTCAAAAAAGTAACTTTCCAGGCTTTTTATTTATTTAGTTGGTTTTGCAAGGACCCGTAGGTCATACCAAGGGTCGAACACTGCCGCTCTGAGCCATTTACTTTGTTTTAAACAGCTTAAAACAAAGTCCCCACCCTGCTTAGCTCTGAAAACTGAAATTAAAATTGATAGCCTTCGGCAGCTTGGATCAGCTCTTCATTCACCTTTAATTTTACGCCCCTTTCCCTTTCGTAAGTACGAAAGCTATTTAAAATTTTTGGTACTTCAAAGGACGAATCATGAGGCAACTAAACAGATATGCATCAGCCGATACCATTTAAGCAGAAAAGTAAAGAAAAGCGAAAAATATTAAGCGAAAAAAGAAAACTAAAAAGAAGAGTTGATTTACAACCAACAATAAAAATTCGAAACGAACGGCCATTTAAAATGCACACATGCTCAAAAATAATCCGTTGACAGGCATTCTGTTCTGTTGCCATGAGAATATCCGTGCTAACTGATTCAACTCATTTTGTTCATCTAGTTGTTAACCCGAAAAAAGTCTGGATTCCGGTTTGATAACGCTTGCGAATCGCAAGCGTAAAAAGGGCTACCTATGGCGAACTCCTGCAAACATTATCCCTCCTTTCGTGGCCATGCTACCCATCAAACATCTCCAAGAAACTACAATAAATTTCTGCCTAAACAAGTAGCACTACAGAATTAATTTTGACCCAAAAACTCACGGCTGTAGTGACTCGTAGACAGTTTATTTGACTCTCTTGAACCTAATTTACTGTCATTTCTGTTTTTAACTACCTACACAGTATCCGAGGAACGGGCTGGAGGTTTGTTGCACAAAGGACACTAAATTGAGCCCACGCAGCGTAACCAATTATCAAGAAAGTTTTCGTTTTTAAACGAACGTTTTCAGTTTTTTCAGTTACAAAAACTGAGAGAATATTCTTTGTTCAATTTAAGTCAATCACGCATTGTGGACCGTCTAGTTATTTTTTCAGATACGCTGATGTAATTCTTCGATAACACTAAAACAGAAGACTCAAATCAAAAGTACAAAAACACTTCAATCAATTTCATCGCAGAGGCAAAGCTGAGCTTCGTACCACTTGGGATACAAAACAAATAAGCCACTTAAAACCAGAAAAAATTCAAAAAAAAATATTCTATCAAAATGAATATAGCTAGTTTTGAAACTAATAACAAGCCAAGACAACAGAATACAAGTACAAGTTTCGCATCGAAACAAAATTAACCAAGCAGTAACAGAGCAAAAATTACCTAGCAGAAACCTTTTAAGCTGAAAAAAATTAACAAGACTTATACAAATTTATTAATTCCCGCTCATCTTCAACACACGCACTTTATTTGCCCGTCAAATTGAATAGTATGAAGCCGAAAACAAAGGAAAAAAAAACAAAAAAGCCGAAAAAAGTTATTTATTCAAAAAACCTTCAAAACACACAAAAAAAATTTTTTCTCTCCTCGAAAGGCACAATATGATGACACTCAGCCGATATATGCTGGACGAAACTTATTGAGCCGAACAAAATAAAAGTTATTTAAAGTTACTAAGTCTACTACTTTAAAGTTATTAAGTCCCCGTCGAAACACTACTTTAAAGTTATTAAGTCCCCGTCGAAACACACGCACTGAGAAAAACTTTTTCGCTCGTCGAACGAGGCAATATGCGGCCACAAAGCCAACATAAGAAAGGCCGAAACCTATCGAGCCAAAAAAAAGGAAAAAAAATTGAAAAAAAGTGCAATTTTAACCAATCGAGTTGGTAAAATTACAAACAACATTTACAATCTTTAGCCGTAAGTTAAAGCTTCAAGGAAATTAGTCCAGATGAGGAGAGTCCTGTGAACAAAGTTGTTTACGGAAAACAACGACTAGTACCCGATTGCAATACCGTTGCTTATCGCAGGGGTAAAAACATTGGGACAGTTTTAAATTGAAGAAGAAGATACTGCACCAGCACAATGAAGAAGAAGAACCTGCACCAGCACAATGAAACAAGGATAGCCGGTTACTGTGCAAACAGCACAGAACGTTCGACCAGTCTTAAAAAATACAAACCAATTTTTTTCACATTAGTGTCGTTTTTTTCAATGGTTTGATAAAAATTTGAACGAAAAAAAAGAAGAAATTAGATCTACTTGACAATCATAGTCAACACAGAGTCGAAGTTGCACTTCGCATACAAAAGCAAAAATATGACCGACAACGCTACTGGGAAAAACTGAGTGAGTAGAACTTTGAGTTTACAAAATTTCTTAAGTGACGCACGCCAATTATGAGTCTACTTAACTACTAAGTGACGCAAGCCAATTATGACGCACTAGCAGTACCAGTCAATTTGAAAAGAAATTTACCAACTAACATGCCTCATTTTAAAGAGCAGACGCTTTTTAACTAGTATACGAAAAAAACATTAAAAAATGCGACCCTGATGAGGTTCGAACCCTCTTATTTTGCTGCTGTTCTCCTTCCCCAGCTCTACGCACCAGAACCATATTACCTTGAAGCTAAAGTGCTAATTGTTATACAATAAAGTGTATTAATATCCTAAGCATTTGCTGTACTTAATCGCTGGTTATTGATCTTATGCATATACTGCAATAAAAGAGCACTTTTAAAAAGAGCACTAATACTTGCGATTTAGGTTGGAAAAAAGAGAGTTCGTCAGATCACACAAGCTTTGCTTCGGTAAATAGGCCAATTGGAAAACAGTTTACGCAGAAAAATTGACGAGAAAAAAAACAAAAACAATCCAAAAGAAACTTTCAAAAAATGTCTCTATATTTTTCTGCAAACTTTTGCAAGTTTTTGATTCGCCTAAGTTTAAAATTTTGAGCTTTGGCAAGAAAAACTAGGTTTTTTTATTCAATCAATTTTCGCCCTCGAATGATCACAAATCAAGGCAACGAAGCCGATACATCATCAGGCCGGATAACGCTTTTAAGCGAAACAAAAACAAAAAATATACAAGTCAGTGCTATTAATTTTATAAATATAAGGAATAATAATAAGAATATGAATTTAGCGTACGCAAGGGTTTTCCCCCACAGTTTCAGTTAAGTTAGTTAGACATATTTCTGCAGTTGTTTCGGGTACAGTCGCACAGAATTTTCCAGCTACAGGGGTTGGAGTCATCGAATCTTTTCTCGAAATGCTCCCACATCCATTGCAGCAACCGTCCTTTGAGTCCTATCGTGTTGGTAAAGTCCACTTTTTGAGGAACCAAATTAGCCAGCCTCTTTGCATGAAACCAGAAATTTTTTTCACAAACAAATTTTGCAGGGCGTGTACATTCAAATAAACGAGATCTTGTATTAGCTAGGTCATTTTTTGGCGGAAAACGGTCAGAAAAATTGAAGTCGTAGTGATTATTGAGGATTTTAGATAGTAGAAGTAAATAATTATTGAGCTGAATGTACATGGGTAAAGGCAGTATTCCTAGACGCTGAAGCGAAGTTTTGTAATTAGGATCTGTTGCAATCCATTTGCATGCATTGCGTTGAACACCTAAGATTTTCATTTCTTCGACGTTCAATTGATAGCACGCTGAGCCGTATAGCAAAACTGGAATTACCATGGATTTGAACAGATTAAGTTTGGTCTTGATATTAAGAGGCAGTGGGTTGCGCTTCAGCATGCATAGAGTGCTGAGGGCTTTTCCTCTTCTAAGTTTAATATGCGATGTCCAGCCTAGATCCGATTTTACAATTATTCCTAGGTCTTTTTCCTCTGAGACTTTCTTAATTAAAATTGAGTCGAAGTAAAAGTCGCTACGTGTGGCACGTTTAACCGGTAGGTGAGTGCATTTTGACGCGTTGAACGCAATCTGGTTTTGTTGAGTCCACGTGAAGATGTTATTTAGGTCTTTCTGAAAATCTGCGTTAAGTGTACCAATTCGTAAGAACTTTGCGTCGTCTGCGTATAGAAAGCTGGTGGAAAGTTTACATACACTTGGTAGGTCGTTAATCATGACAAGAAAAAACAATGGCCCGAGTATTGAACCTTGAGGAACACCGCTTGTGACATAGAATGATTGGGACAGACAGTTTTTGATTTTGACACATTGTGTTCTATTTGTCAGGTAGTTATAAATTAGTTTTAAAATTTGCCTCTGATTCCCAGCGAGTAGAGCTTATCAATCAGAATACCGTGATCTACTTTGTCAAAAGCTTTCTCGAAATCGGTATATATTACGTCTACTTCTTCATTTTTGCTTATAGCTGAATATATGGTATCAAGATAGAGCAGCATTTGGATGATCCCTGACCTTTTCGCGCAAAATCCGAATTGGTTGTTGTGCAACATAGGTTCTAGATGTTTATATAGATCGATGAAAAGAACTTTTTCGAAGATTTTGCTGGCAATATTAAGTAGTGATATTGGTCTGTAGTTACTTATCGAGGCCTTGCTTCCTTTCTTTTTGAAAATTGGGCTGACAATAGAGTGTTTCCATTGATCAGGGAAACAACAGGTCTTGAGTGCTTTATATATGATATGGTAGAAAGAGGGCGTTAAAGATTCACTACAACGCTTAAATAAAACAGGAGGTAGTAGATCGGGACCTCTCGACTTACTTAGATCTAGATCATTACACAGTTTGACAATCAGATTTCTGTCTGGTTCTATATTATGAATTATTTGTTTAACTGAGTGCTCTTGTTTTTCAAGACAGGATGGTTAAGAGATTATAAATGCTGAGTTAAAAAACTTGGCGAATAGATTAGCTTGTTCTGGCAAGGTTTTCGCAAATGAATTA